GGGGGGGGGGGGGGGGGGGTGCAGAGGCGCAGGGAACAGCTCCTGGCATTTTCCGTTAGCAGCTGGAGGATGCTGATGGGGGCCGGGAAGATTTGGTCGAAGCAAAACCAGAGAGGATGTCGTTGCAACGAGTCGCGCCCAGGATACAGGAGCAGCGACCAGGCAGCGGCGCGCAGGCCAGCTTGGGCCAGCGCCATGACAAGACCCTTGGGAAGGAGCAAGGGTTGTTAACGCCTGTGGAGTGAAGAGTTTAGCAGGGATCAGCGATGAGCTGGGAAGTTGAGGGGCTTCCTTGGCACCTCCTGGACCGAAACGCTGTCGCCGCTGCCTGTTTTCAGCATTGGGTGGAGCCGGAATAAAAGGGGGTTGGGGGGAGTGCACTGAGCAGGGCACCTCTTGGACCCGCCTCGGACACGTAGACAGCGAGGACTGGCACATCCAGTCCAGCCCCCTGCTCCAAGCAGGACCAGCCCCAACTGCATCATCCCAGCCATGGCTTTGTCTACCCAGGTCTTCAAAACCTCCAAGCATGGAGATTTCACTACCTCTCTGGGGAGCCCATTTCAGTGCTTCACAGTGAGAAAGCTTTTTCTAATATCCAGCCTTCGATCTCTGTTGCTGCAGCTTGTATTGCCCACCAGCAGGTGCAAAGATCCTGTTTCTTAGCTCTGCCAGCAAAACCTCTTGAGTGGACACAGCTGAGGCAGATCCAGGCAGGTGCCCTGATGCCCTTGCACCCCCATTTGATTCCTGCTCCACCCGGTGTTTAAAACCAGCTACCTGGAAATGGCGGCAGCATTTCTGTTCAGGCAGTGCTGCGGGAAGCCATTGACATCATGGCTCCTTAAAATCTACATAATCCTTTCTAAACTCTTCGTTCCACAGGTGTTAACAACCTGCTCTCCTTTTTAATGATCTTCCTGTTCCATTAATCAGGCTATCTTTTGTTCTGCAGTGCTGCTGTTGTTTGCTGCTTCTGGTCATTGGGTCCCAGTTTCACAGCCCTGCAGTTATATTTTGTTTTTGCTTTGACCCTATTATTGTCAAGGTTGACCATAGTTTACATAGGGTTTAGATTATGGATGTGTCTGGGATGGCTTGAATAGGGTTGATCCTAGGGGTGCTTTGATAAAGATTTTTTGGGCCGATACTGTTGGCCAATTATTAATGAACTGTATTGGCCGATACCAATCCAATTGCCCCCTCCCTTCCCATGCCCCCCCCAGATGGTTGCCCCTTCCCTCCCCTCTTCCCCTTCACTCCAACAGACTTACCAGCTGAACGCTGCTCTCCAAGCTGCCAGGCTGGCTGCGTGATTGCAGCAGCTGCGCGCATGCACGTGGCCTTTCTTGGCCGCATTATAGGCCACATCAGTCAAAAAAGGCTGATTGCCGATAATGTCAGTTTTCCTTTCATCAGTGCTGATATGATATGAACCAATGTATCAGTGCACCTCACCTCTACTTTCCCCTGCAGTGCGGGAGTCACCAGGTCCCTGCACCTAGGCCTGGACAACCCCCAGAGGCAACAGCTTCTCATCACTGCTGACCTAGTCCTCTCTGCAAGTCCTTTCCAGCCCTAGTCCTCTATAATTTTATAATTTTAAAGAAAAAAAGCCTAGAAGCGCATGCACTGTTCCGACAATCCAGTTCAGAATCTGGCCACCCAAAAAGTTAAGGTATAAAGGTGTAAAATGTGCAATAGGAACGGCTTTTTTATACAACGCAAGGCAGGTAATAAAGCCCAATAATGCAAAATGCTTACAAAAGAGAAAAGCAGGTTAGCATGCTGTCAAGTGCACAAAAACAGGGTTAATAAAATGTCAGAGAGAGATACCACAGTGCAAAGATGGAGCTGTTACAGTTGTTCCATTAGTGTTAATTTTTGCATTGGGATCAGAGTCCCCCACACAATGTCCACTGTTCACACCAAGGAATTAAGCCTACGTTAGTGAGCTGCAGTAACATCTATTTTTGTACTAACAGGGTAACATGGCCACATATAGGTCATACTGTACAAACATATTTTCCTGTATACCGTTCTAGGTCCCTAGGGTAAAGCTTCTAGTGTCTTTTTATGTGGAGAAAAATATGCACTGTGTTATATGGGATGATGCACCGCACTATCTGCACCCGCATTTTCAAAATCCTAGATTCACAGTTCCTAAGGTTGCAAGGGATCTCAGTAGGTCATCAGGTCTGACCCCCTTTCCTGGGCAGGAAAGAGTGACCCCAACCAGGTGCTTGTCCAGTCTCCTCTTGAAGACCCCCAAGGTAGGAGTGAGCACCACCTTCCTTGGAAGCCTGTTCACCCATGGGTGCCCATTCACCCATGGATGCAGCTAGGCTGACAGAAGAGGCCTTTTCTTGACTTTGCTTCCATCATTTCAGAGGTGAGGTAGCCAGGCCAGCAGGAAACAGGTTCATCACTTGGACCCACTGCATCCTTCCTGGGGGCTCTGCTGACCCAGCTGTAGTCTCTATTGCTACCTCCTAGGTTCAAGATGATATGCGAGCAGCCAGTGGGCACTCTGTGGGACTAGAGGCTGTTCCAGGCAGGGGCATTCTTCTTGTTATAATAGTTGCTTGAGACCCTGGAGAGGACAAAGCCAGCTGAAGCCCACGGAGCAGGGCATCTGATTCCCAGTTTGTTAAATGGGGATAATATTCTTCATAAATGGCGGGGAATAGATTCATAGATTCATAGTTGGTAGGGTCGGAAGGGACCTAAGTAGATCATCAAGTCTGACCCCCTGCCCTGGGCAGGAGAGAATGGTGGGCTTATATGACCCCAGCCAGGTAAACGTCTAGCCTCCACTTAAAGACCCCCAGGGTAGGAGCCAGCACCACTTCCCTTGGAAGTTGGTTCCAGCTCCTAGCTGCCCTGACTGTGAAATAGTGTCTTCTAATGTCCAGCCTGAACCTACTGTGAAACAACTGATGGCCATTATTCCTTGTTACTCCGGGAGGTGCATGGGTGAACAGGGTCTCTCCCATTCCCCACTGGTCCCCCTGGTAAGTTTGTAGACGGCCACCAAGTCCCCTCTCAGCCTTCTCTTGTGAAGGCTGAACATATTCATGTTCCGTAACCTCTCCTCGTAGGGTCTGCCCTGCTGCCCCTGGATCATGTGAGTGGCCTCCTCTGGACCCTCTCCATGTTGTCCACATCCCTCCTGAAGTGCAGCACCCAGAGCTGGATGCAGTACTCCAGCTGTGGCCTGACCAGTGGCACATAGAGGGGGAGGATCACCTCCTTGGCCCTGCTCATGATGCATCTGTGGATGCATGACAAGGTGCGGTTAGCCTTCCTGACTGCGTCCTCATATTGGTGGCCCATGCTCATTTTGGAATCAATAATGACCCCAAGATCTCTTTCTGTCACTGTGCTTTTGAGAAGGGAGTTCCCCAGCTTGTAGGTCTCCTGCTGGTTCTTCCTGCCCAAGTGCAGCACCCTGCACTTGTCAGTATTGAATCCCATCCTGTTCTCATCCGCCCACCCCTGTAACATGTCCAGGTCCAGCTGTAATCTGTCTTTCCCTTCTAGTGTGCCTACCTCGCCCCAGATCTTGGGGCTTAGAAAGTTTAAGCTTTAGAAGCACCATATTAATCATTGATTTTACACTTATCTGTTCTCTTCCAACATTATATATGGTTTATTGATATCTCAGCTTCAAAACTTCATACTTAAAGATGTAAAATGTTGACAGTGAGTTGTTGGGTTTTTGTGTCTGATTTTTACATAGTAACTGGCTTCCTGGAAAAGAGGATAGATTTTTTTTCCCCAGCAAGAAGCAGAGGAAATAATTAATGTGTGCAGAGGAGGAGACTTCTTGAAGTGTGAAGTATGATCATCAGCTTCACTCGTCATGCACTGGTCCCTTCTGGCCTGGCGAGGACTAAAGGAGTGGAGAGAGGCTTTTTGGAGGTTGAAGAGATGTCCTTTAAAACTGACCTTGCAAAGTGTGGGGAGTAGCCTTGAGATTCACCAGGGACTGATGCAGGAATTGCTGGGTAAAACTCTCGTCTGGTTTGCATAGTACAGGTGCAACCACTGCTCATAATGGTGCTTTCTCGCATTAGTACCCACAAGTTCACATACATCAGGTGCAAAAGGCTGAGACCCTGGGTAGATTAATTAATCTTAAGATTGACCCAGTTAATAGCAGGACACTTGAATGTCTGGCAGTATTCACTCCTACTCAGCTGGCTCGTGTCTCCTGCAGCTGGGGCTGGTATCTGGGAACAAATCACAGTTGGGCAGATGTGCTTGTCATTAAACCTACTATTGCAGCTGAAAACTGTTGGAGGCTTTTCTTCTGGCTTCTATGCTCTTGAATGTTGCATTTCTAGGCCTGTACAGGAGATGGTGCTAATTCCCCATATAGCTATTTGCATTGCCACAGGTCTGAACAGGCAGTTTCATACCCAAGGAGTTAATTCTGTCTAAAATTAACTACTAATCTCCATAACTTTCGTAACTCAGACTACAGGTAATTTAGCCACAGGTGTAAACATTGGCCTACCTTGCAACATGTTGATAACATCTAAGTGGCAGGGAAGCAGCTTTGATAGGGGTAAATCAGCAAAGTAGGACTAACCCAGAATTTGTCGCAGCATTTCAGAACAAGTTATTTTCTGCCTCTGCACCTCAGTTTCGCCATCTGCAAAGTGGAGGATTAACTTTGAGCGCTACTGCGTGATCCATGCCTGAAAAGTGCGATGTAAGCCTATTCTTTATTGACATACGGAAGGATCTACCAAAGTGTAAATAATTGGTTAGGAAAGGGAGTTAACACCACTTCTGATGTGTATTCTCCACTGCATCCTGCTTCCTCCATTTCCCATTCTTTACTGTATCAAAATATTGGTCGCATAGAGGATCTTTGTTATACACGGTGCTGGTCAATGGTCCTCGTGGTCACAGAGGTGTGTCGCCTAGCACTATGCATCAAATGATAGCTTCAGCTTCCCTTGGGCCTACGAACAGGGCTTACAGGCTAGCAGCTGGGGCAGGGAACAAAGATTTTGGCCTCTGGGGGGAGGTTTGTCCTCTCAGCTGTCAGTGACTTGTCATGTTGCATCGCCTCTGGAATATGTGTGGTCTAATACAGCGCTGGTTCCTAGGAATGTAATATTTGTACAGGGCTTGGAGAGTCTTCGAATTTTAGAGATATGGTGCATTAGTCACTGATTTTCCGTTTCCTACCTTTTTTTTTCCAACATCCTGTGTGGTTTATTGTTATCTTGGTTTCACAATTTCACACTCAAAGATCTGAAATGTTGACAGTAGTTGTTGGGTTTTTATATCCTATTTTCATGTAGTAACCGGCTTCTTGTTTTTGGAGAGAGAGGATAGATTTTTCCCTAGCAAGAATGGAAATTAACTGTCTAACCACTGATGCAGATAGATGTCCATACTGAAAATGAATTTCCAGAGTATATCTAGACTCTCTGTTTAAACCCAAGGTACAGTATTGTCACTCATGTTTGGAGCGCTCTCATTCTTTGCACTCATTTATTTCTCATTACAGTTCACAGGAGGAGCATGGCTCTGAGAGCATGTGGCTTGATAATCTACAGGAGGCTACAGCCAGGATGCCCTTCTTCTAAAGCTGGCAACAATATTGAATACCTCCTTCTGCAGACATCATACGGGACTCACCACTGGACCCCACCAAAAGGTGACGTTTGCAGACACAGCGTGAAGACATCTAGTCTGTTGGCTATTAATCATATAGGGCAGCTGAATCAGTTAAGTACAGTAGGATCACAGGTGCATCATTACACATATCTGACTGCAGTGGAGTTTTGCTAGTTGCCAGGTCAGGGTTTGCGGTACCCAGTGTGCTATGGCAAATAGATTGTGTTTAACTAAATGCAAGGGAAGCCCAGGCAATGCCCTGAGACCCAGTACAGAGGCTTGTCTCTGAAACCAAATGGCAGAGCACACCTGTGTTTGGGGTCCCTCTGGCCCAGGATGTCAGGATATTTCAGCACAGAAATAAATTTTAATTCTTTCATATTCTTTTTATCCTCTGAAATCCTCTTGGGTACCCAAGACAGTGAGCCACAATGTCACACATACTGACTGCATCCATACACAGTCTTGAAGCATCTTTGCAATACTTAAATAGGGATATGCAAACTGGCACAAGGTCAGCAAGTAATGCCCATCTCTGACTCCCCATTAAATAAAAGGTAGCAACCACCCTCCTGCACCTCCATATATCCTCTTAGCCTGAAGTCTGGGTAAATGAATGATCAATGTGTGGGGGTATCAGGCAATTTGGTGATGTGATACTCTACTGAGAAGAGTGGTCCTTGGTGGATGGTTCTTACTGAGGATACCCTGACATCAGCAACAAGCATCCTGGCTGTCCCACACTGCCATGGTGTCACACAGGGAGAGGGCACAATAGGCAACCAGGGCTGCGCCACTTATTTGTTCATTAGACTTGCATGCCACCCTCCCCAAGAAGGCTCAGAGTGGCTTACAGTAAAAGACAGAATAACCTTAAGATGTTATGTAACGCATCCCCAAACAGCGCTTCCATTTCTGTGACTTTCACCCAGCAGAGCAAACCCTCCGGTCCATCCCAACTATGCTCCCAACCTTTACAACCCCTATTCATATGTGGGTATAGAAAACCTCTCCCCACTGCCACTGTCCTGCCCCTCATCCAGGGGAACCTCCTCCACTGTCCTCTAATATCCATCCCAGTCCCACAGCCTTTGTTCAACAGAGGGGCTGTGATTATCCCACAAATACTATCCCTCCCCCCGTGAACACAACATTCAATTCAAAAGAGTTGTAACAGGAAAATAAGGAAGTCCCAGCATCCCTGCTTCTGCTGCTGCCAAAGGGCAATGCCAGAGAGTGCCGTTGACAACAATTTAGGGGTCTAGACACCCACAGAGTGTCTGGTGACAAACTGGCAACCACTGCAGCTTCTAGACTGAGTATGAATTGAATGAGCTGTGGCTTGCCTTCTGCACTAGCTACAGTTTCTGAGTGGTTCTTGAACGTAGCCCCTAGTAGAGCCTCTGGTACAATATAATCTTCAGTTAATGTCAACATGGAAAACATAGCAAGGCCCAGATTTGAAAGAAAAACTCAAAACTACTCTGCTAGTGGGATGTGGGTGGAAAAAGCACTTTCAACCAGAGCTGCTGTTCCATCTTTTCAGAATAATTTATGTAGTGCCTGTGGCAGAAAGCCACCTTGGTCTCTCCCCAAAATCTCTGCCCTGTGACAATGTGATTAAAATCTCTGAGCTGGGACCACTTGATTAGGATGGGCCCAGCAGAAGAGACCACACCCTCAGCCTGTCTCTTTAGGTAACTTGAGCTGGCTACATTCCTGAGGGAGGGAGGAAACCTGCTCCCTCTGTCTACGTGAGTGGCATCGGCTACCTGGGTAAGGGGTTTCTACCTGGTGGGGTGGAATCTGGCCGGCAACTAGTGATGTATTTCAAATGGGTTGGCCACCAGCCAACCGGAGCTGGCCCCACTGGACCAGGTGAATGAGGTCACAGGGGCTGTAAAAGTTAGGACTGCCCGGAAGGCGGCCTCTTCTGCCATGCGGTGGAGCTGAAGCCTTGGGGGGACCCAGAGAAGCTGTACCATCTAAAGGTAGCTTCTCCCCCAAAAAACTCATGAACAAGGAACAGCTGGACGCTAGAAAGGATCTCACCAGCCTCTGGATGAAGCGTGTGAGTAAGCTACTCAAGATCTGATAGATATCTAGCTGGCAGTAACTCATATGCGTGATCAAAAGGCTACCACAGCCAAACTGTTTGCTCTTTAGGATTTCTAAGATATTGCTCAATCTTGTACCCTATTTTCACCCTACCCCTGTACTCAATAAAGTTCTCCTTTGTGACCGGTGTGGGAGACTTATTGAGGGGTGGGTCTAAATTATGCCTAAGAGACCTCTTAGGTCTGCAGACTAAGGGAGACTTTACTTTTTGCCCCCGGACTTGGGGAAGTGCCCCAAGTGTCTGTACTGTGTTGAGTACCCGTAGGACATTAGGCCTGTGTTTCCCCAAGGACACAGGGCTGAGAGTGAGTCCATTCTTGGGGTGGTGGCAGCTACTTTACCCCCAGGCTAGCGAGTGTGCTCCAGCAAGGGGGTCAGCCGGACATAAGGTGCCCCTAGGGAGGCATTCGGAGCCTGGCAGGTGGTCGGGCGCAGGGAGGTGGGCGGCTCAACGCAGGAGCGCCCCCTACTGGCCTGCCATAGTGCCCATCCCCCTTGGCTCAAACTCTGCTTTCTGGTACCAAAGGGTGAGCAGAGCTCCAGTCTGTGCCTTAAGGGTGCGATCCTAACCCATCACCATCAACTCCATGGCCTTTGGTGTGGGTGTCTAAACCTGTGACATCCCAGCAGCTGACTGCTGAAAGAGATTTTGAGCGGACTGTCCTCCACAGCCCATTGCACTGCGCTGGTGTCAGATGGGGAGTCAGTGAAGAGCAGGGAGCTGCAGGGTTGCTTACTCTCACTGACTCAGAGGGCAGGTTGCTGAAGCTTATCATCAGTGTGTGAAACAGCAGCGTGATGCAAAGGTGATACTTTTGCTACAGTCTCTCCTACAGCAGCCTGTTATGCATGCCTGCTAGGAAGGGTGACAGATCTGGGGAAAGGCAGAATCATCCCTTTTGTATCAGGCTGGGAGTTGGGAAGAAGCAGCAGCTACTTATGTATGTTTCTTAGCTCTGGAGGGATTGTCCACAGACATGCTGGGGTCATCAGTACTGAGAGCTGCAGGTAGAGAAAAAGCCATCAGTCTCTGATTATGGATTGGAGAACACTAGAGCCATCTCTGTGCCATAGTTGAGCCCAAAGAAAGGCTGAAAGGGACAACAGAAATATTTTCATTCCAGAGAATGCTACTCTGTCTAACGCAGCTTTTTCCATATGCTTCCACTGGGTTGTCTTACGGGGCAGTCAGAATCACTGCATCGGCTGTGCTGGTGTTGGAGAATATCAGTGGAAGAGCATCTTGCCTGGTCTGTCCATTGCTGACACTCCCTTTAGGGATCAAATGTGAGCTTTGCTAAAATGATAGAAAGCAGCAGAGTCCCTCTAAACGTAGGAAACTGAGATGATGCTGATCTGAGGTAAGAAACACTTAAAGGAGCTGGCTGATACTTTGACCATCACCTCTCTTTTAAGGACATCTGCTGTCTGGGCATCAAATGCACAGGCTTGGAAGCCTGGTGGGTTCTCTTTCAGATCCTAGATTTGCAGTTAGCAACAAGGGGGTGAAGTGACTCCTCCAGGTGACCAAGAGCTTGATCTTGCCCTTGAGACAAGAACCAAACCTTGGTGATCAGTTCTTTTTTACTTTAAGTGTGTACTGCGCTTGCACCCCACACCTGGGATCACTGGTGCTGTTTAGCATTGCTTTCTATAGCCGTCAGCAGCCTAGCCATTGTCAAGTGTTTGGTAGTTATCTTCTGCACTGCAGTCAATGCAGCCATGCAAGACTGAGCAACAGTGTGAATGAGAGTCGTTGGTAACTGAGTTCTAGGTACAGACCTATTCCCACTGGTGCCATCAGAAATAAAAATGCATTGTGACTCGGGGTGCTGAGAACTGGAGGAAAAGTCTTTGTACATATTTGCTGAACACACGATCTCAAGTCACTGAGACCTAAACATGCAAATTAGGGGGCTTATTGTTTTAGAGTACTTTTTTCGAATGGAACCAGGCTTTTTCATTGTAGTGACCCCAGGATGTAAGGAGCATAAGACGTGCTGACTCCTGATAGACAGAAAAGCGAGTGAGATCTATTTGTAGGAAAACATAGGCTTTTCCATTCCTCCCAGTTTTACAAACACAGGTGGCTTCAAATGCCTGCAGGCCAAATTAATCTCTAGCATAGCCATCCAGAGATTGCAGTCCATCACAAATACATCTTCTGAAATCAGTCGAGTTACATCAAGGATGAATTAGGCCTGTTTGGTTTTTTTTATGGACTCTCTGCATCGGGGCTTTTTTGAGACCTGTCTCTGTTTGGTCTATTTATGTTCATGTGTAGTGTTTTTGTGAGAAATCTAAATTTGGCCTTTCTCAGGGAAAGTAAAAACAACTTGGGCAGATGTTATATTTATCCCTGGTTGGTAAGGGTTTCTTTCCTCCTGACGAATATGAAGGGAAGGGAGACAACCAGAATAGCAACACTGCTGTACTTTGGCAAGGAAGAGAAATAACCCCACTCTAGCTTGCTACACGTCCCAGCCCACGCACCTGATTAAAGAGCCCTGCAGTGATCCTGATCTCGTTTAATTGCTACTTGTACCACTGCATAGTAGCTTGCATCCAGATGCACCTGCCAGCACTTCAGAATCATTACTAAACGATCAAAAATCAACATATTTTTCGGGCCTGGCTCCCCTGCTTCTGAGATGCCCTTGAGGCTGCGCTTGTGTGTCTCTTATTTTCATGTAGGTTGGCCATACCATAGTCATACGATCCATTGAAAAGATCCACTCCAAAGCTGTCGAGGAGAAGCATAGCAACTCCTCAACAGCTCCCAGCTCCACTAATATCATTATTTTTTATTTGTCGCATGTTGATTCAGTTTTTTTTTTTGCCAGTGTGTGAAGTAGCTCCCTCTGGGATTCTCACTGTGTGAGGTGCTTCTGAGCAGCGAGGAACTCCTGGCTTTATCCCCCATGGGGAAGATTTAATTGTTTGGATATAAAACAATGCTGAAAACTGTCTGGGTTTCTTGCTGCTGCACTTGAGCCTCAGGCCCTGTCCCTGAGAGCCTGTGTCTGGCTCCCTGTTTGTGTAGTAGCCTGTGTCCATGTCAGCAGCGCTGTTGACTTTGGGACTACTCACTTGAGCCAGAGGTTTGCAGAATCAGGCTCTTAAGCTGCTTGGGAGAAGCTGAAGGAGACCAGCACTCCTGTTGCTCAACAGAGGGGTTGGTTTGAAGGAGCAAGGTCCGAGCATCCAGTTCTCTTCTCAGAGCCTTATTTTGTCATCCCCTTTGCAGGCCACGTGGACCCAGGGGAAGATGATCTGGAGACAGCCATGCGGGAGACGCAAGAAGAGGCCGGACTTGATTCCAGGCAGATCACTCTCGTCGAAGGATTTAAGAAAGAGCTGCAGTACACCGTCAGGGACAAGCCCAAAACCGTTATCTACTGGCTGGCAGAAATAAAGGACCACAACACAGAAATCAAGCTCTCGGATGAGCACCAGGATTTCCGCTGGCTGAACCTGGAGGAAGCCTGCAAACTCGCTCAGTATAAGGACATGCAGGCAGTGCTTAGAGATGCACAACAGTTTCTCTCTTCGAAGGCTTAAAAGCTTGCATGGAGGAAGAAGGGGATCTTGCAGGAGAGTTGGGAGCTGGTTTAATTGAGACCTGAAACACAGTTTTCCTCAAAGTGAATTTGATTTACTTAATCTGAGTTATTCTGGAGCTGGTACTCTTGCGTCCTGTAGCTCGTGCAGAGAGGCAGAAGGTGTAGTTGTAACAAGGGGCAGAGATGTCTGTGTTTAAAGCCTGACACGGACAATGAACCTTGCCGGGCAAGTTTGCAGAAGTGTTGAGCAACCTCAGACTTCCTTAGAAAACCAGACATGTGATCTCCTGCATGACTGCCATTAGGACTTGTGAAGTGCGATGCCCGAATGATGTGAAAAATGAGCATATGGAGACTTGTCATAATAAAACACAAATTGCAAAACTTGAATGTCAAGTTTTGAGTACAACACACAGTGAGCTAAGTCCTGGGCTCTGTTTCCAGCTCCTCCTGCGGTTACTTGGCCCAAGTGCTTCACCCTTCCCCTGCCTGCAGCACGAGTTTGTTTCCTTACTGTCACAGGTTTAATGTTTGTAAAGTGCTTTGAGAGGCTGGGGTGGAAGATGTTAGAGAGGTGCATAATCCGAATTTCCAGCTCCCCCTTCCTCTTTCTTTGTTGCATCTTGTCTTGGGTTCTGTCACTTTGAATGCCTTCCAGGTATCATATGCTGATCTGGGCTTCCTGGTCTACCCTGAGCCCAGGACGTCCTGCTTTCGCCAATGTGGAATCTCTCTGCTATAATAGTATTATACTCCCCTGCGGGCTAGAGACACTAATAGGCAACGTGGTAATTTCATTTGAAACTGGTCTGTCGTTCACCTATAGGATCCTATGGTCCTAGGTCTGTCGTTCCACATGGTAGAAGGCAATGCTGCGTTACATTCTTACACACGATAGCCAGAACATCAGAGGCCAGAAACACAACAGTAGTGCGCTGTCTCTGAAAAAGGAAATAATTTCAGTAACTCCATATTTTTGTTTAGCGTAGTTTTGTTTATTATGCACAGTGTTCAAAACCACTTGCATTGGGGTATTGACAGGGTGTGGTGGACAAAGATTGTATTAGTAACATTTGGAACAATAAAACAGAAAGATTAAACTAGTCCACCAGTAAAAGAGAGAATCTACCTACAAACTTGTGCTGCTTCACAGTCGTATTTTTTCATTATTATTCTCAGCTACCATTTAATCAGTGCTATGTAAACAATAGTATTGCTTTGTTCGCATGTACAGGCAAGACTCTAAGCAAGGATACAGAGCCATTATCAAGTAATCCATTCTACCCAGTCAGCCTTAATGAGCAGACAGCGGCCAACACAGAAAGCACTGTATTAGCTGAACCCAAAGTGGATATCTGCATTTGAATGGCACTGAATTTGTGCATTCATTAACTGCATGAGGATTTGGGGGGGATGAAAAGGGTTATAGAATTGCAAGTTAATGTTGTGTGTCCAGGGCCTGGCTTTCACGTGCAGGCATCTGAGGTGCACTCACACAGGGCTCAGCATAGGCACATGCAATTGCCTCGGATCTGCGCACATAACCAGTGTCCTCGCTGATCTTGTGGGGGACCTGATGCTTGGACACTTGACAGCTTGACTCTAAAATACATGCTAAACGTTGCAACCCAGCACATGTCTCAGCAGAAGTTTTTTCAAAGGTTGAGCGTTAGGGTTGAATTTTGAATGCCAGCTTGTACCCGTGGGTCAGCAAGAAGGAAAACCTCCTTTGGAAACACAGCTCCTGCCTGATCAGCAGTCTAACCCAGTATCCTAGCTCTCAATGCTAGATGCTTCATCGGAAGGTGTACAAACCCTTGTAGTACATAAGTCTGGAATAATCTGTTCCAAGCAAATGTTTGTTTCCCCTTTCAATCCTATGTGCTGAACTGGAAGTGTTCTGATTTCTATTTTATTTTTGGACGTTTAACATGTTCCTGAGTCCTGTTAAGTTACTGGCTGCAGTGATACCTTGCGGCAATGAGTTTCACCTGCTAATAACGAGTTACACATAAGAAATATCCGTTTGATAGTTTTACCTTCCAGTGTCCCTTTGTTCACGTCTTATGAGACAGCCTGAGTGAATCGAGCTGCAGAACAATCAATCCAAGCAACACAAAGGCCCCGTAAAAATATTTCCTGGGCAAAGTGAAAAGTGGCATCCAAGTCTGAGAGAGGGATGAGTGAGGGAATAATCCTTTTGATGCTGCTGAACAATAAATTGACATGACTTACTGGAACCTCTCGTCTGCCAGCGTTTATACCCCTGATGTGTTCCACAGGATGCTTCATGCTCACATGATGTCAAAGGAGAAAGTAAAGGACACATCAGTGTACATCTGTGGATGCTATAAGGGAACTAAAACCCTACTAATTCCATTGAACAAGGGTCAAGATTAAGTATAATGAATGATAATGAGAGGGGAAGTAGAGAGGGGAAGTGGAGGATCCCCTTCCTCAAAAATGAGTGTATCATATCCTACACCTGTTTATGTACAAGCAGTGCACATTCATTGAGCCCTATGCATAGCTGCAGGAGGTCAAAGATAAGAACTGAGGCTCCTAGTCAAGGAATAGGAAATTTAGTGCCCTAGAAAGGTCAGGAGATCCAGTTTATCACTTATAAGCAAAATCAAAGCCTGCTAGGATTTGCTTTTTCACCGTTATGGTTGGCTTGGAGGAAAAATGTGCTTGTGGGATTAGTGGCACTAGACCCTGAAGGAAGGCTTAGGGCAGTGGCTCCTGACAAGGCACTTGGGTTCATTTTCATTGCCTCTAGGTCTCTTTGCAGATTAAATGTGATCCCTTGGAAAACCTAAGCAGTGTGCATCTAAAGCAGCAGCACAGTCTGCTCTGCTTGCTACAGCTTTGTGCCACATCGTGATGGTTCTCCAAGTGTTCAAAAAAGGGTCGTTTTTTTTAACTTTCCTATCAAAACCTTTAGGCTATTGCGACAATTCACTAAAGGATGAATTATTCCCAGTGGGAGTTTCTTATTGGAGGGCATCGTTGTCGGCTGCATTATGTCAGAGTTAATCTATTTGATATTCGGCATGGTCAAAAAGAGGAGTGATGGTCCCATCCTTCCACTCAATCAGGATCTCCCCATGCCTCAAGGAAGGGGAGCGAGAGGCTGGAACCTCGTACTGCCGCGTGCCTGCTGGCCCCAAACATGAAGATCGCTCTTTTGAGTCAGCTGTACTGCTGTCCTCTGGGTAGTGTTTCAATGCGTTGAGGACCTTCTTCTTCCTATCGAATCAGAAACAATGGCGCCACGTTTCAGTTCTGTCACCAAGAATTGTATTCATTTCTAAGGTAGACAGTGCACTTCCCCAGAGATTAATTCATCACAGCTGTCTGATGTCTCTACGGCATTGCCGTCCCACCCCCCTGGCCCAACAGTTCACCCAAACTTGTCAACCAGCCATAATACCCAACCCTTGCTTTGCCTCCTGGTGAGAGGCAAGCTCATCTCTGGAAGCTGTTCAAGGTCAATCTTCCTAGACGGCCTACCGCAGCAGTGCCTTCAGTCCTCCCCAGAGCACTGCAGGTGTAGTACAGGAAGCCCCCTACCCCACACTGCTGCACCCCAATCTGGGGGCTGGACTCGACGATCTCGTGAGGTCCCTTCCAGCCCCTAATGTCTATGAAATCCTGATGCCACTGCTCAGAATTAGATAACACAACAGGAGGGACAGGTGATGGGTGTGATTGAGAAGGGCCCTGTATGCTTATCCTGTTTCTGACTTACTGGACTCAGTCTGCCCATTGCGTATCTCCTGTTTTTCTCACATGCCCCTACAGCAAGAAGCAGCAGGCAGGCTGGAGGTGAATTAGCAGTACAGTTTGGGAGAGCATGGCTACTAGCATGCTAATGCCAGCATGGCCTTCAGGTCTTTACATTATGCAGCTATGAAAAAAACAATGCGAGGGATAAGTAGGCTCTTGGTCCAACTCACTTGTTGTAATGGACGTTCAGCATCAGTATAATTAGTCCCAGTATAAAAGCTAAGGGACTGAGGACCAGCATGGCTGTCTTCCAGTTGGTGCCTGAAACAGCAACAAGTCATGCAATCAGGCAGGTTTTCCATGCCTCTTTCCTTTGCTGTGCAATTGTTTTTCAAGAGACGTACCTTGATTTTAGCTTTGTCGTCTAAAAGGGGTGTAGGGCCGGGGGAGAGGAATTCACTACTTGGGGATGGTCTGCTTGGAAACCCTCCTGGAGGCTTTCCCACCTTGTTTGGGGTAATGAATAGCCTAATTTCCTGATGTGGGGCCCCTTGTTCTGGACACGGGGTTGGAGGGAAGGGGGAAATTGCTGTTGGGTACCAGTGGGCTCCCAGGGTGGATGGCATTCAGCACTCCCCCACTGACTCCCAGGCTCATGATCATAAGAAGGGGTCTCTTCCCTGGGCCCCAGCCTTGTCCTTTGCTCGCTGGTCACTTGCACGTACCTCCTTGACGAGGCCCAGCCGCTTTCCTTCGGTGGCTGTGTTGCTTCCCTCTGTGCCCCTCTATGGGGGAAGGAGCAGAGATGCTCAACTTAGTGGCCTGTGCTGTGGAAGGGGAAGGAACGTCATACTTTACTCTGACCTGACGTCATGTGGCTGCAGTTAAATTGCAAGGGACTTTGGTGGGAAGAGCAAGAGGGCCCTGGGTGGCAATTCAGGAGGACCAGTGCCCAGCCACAGAGCCTATGCATCTCTAGCACCGACTGCAGCTTCACTGGGGAAAAAAAATCTCACTGCGGCATTGAATAGCTACACCGTGCAAGGATGAGCCCCACAACACAGAGGCCCCGTTGCACTAAAGCCAATGGGAGCTAAGACACCTAAAAGCATGTGGGTCCCATACCTAAGGGACCCTGCTGTGCCATTGCCCCGTGTCACCCCACAAGCGCTACCTGTGCTGTCCTACCCAATGCGGTCAGGAGGAAAGGGGGCTATACTCACCGTCCTTCATTTTTAAATACATCGGTTTGCTCTCCAGTGGAGAGACTGTGCTGTTCACTTTATTGGCCAGACTTGGGGTAGCAGACTCCAGAGGAAAAGCCGTCGAGGGGACATGGATCTTTGGTGAAGAACTGATGGTTTTAGCTTAGAAAGGAAAAAAAACAACCAGAGGTACATTAGCGTTATGGCTTATTCACTGTACAGAGCAGAAGCAAGCTCGTGGTCAGGGCAGCATTTGGTCTATGGTGTTGGATGCCAGGTGAACCCAATGCAGGGTGTTGAAGAGCACAGAGCGGGCCCCGGGTTAGTCAGAGCTGTGATGTACACCCACTACCAGTGTGTTAGATGAATGCACATGGCCAAACTAATGTTAAACCAGTGACACAGGTTATTTGCAACACTGAGAAGCGAAGTAAACACAGCTTTGTCCGATACTTAATCAGCCGGTGATGAAGTACTTGAGAGATCTACGCACCAAAGGCTAAGGAGACTTATTTAGGCAGAACTAGGGGGACATGGCTAGTGCACTGACCTCTGCACTGCAGCGGTGGGCCCTTCGAGAAAGCAGACAGTCCTAGAGCTCCAGATGTGCTCCCTCTGGAATTGCTAGCAGAGGAAGGCAAGGTGCCCGATCTTCAACAGGGTGTAACCACTCACTGTGGGAGCTCACATGTAAAACTGGCCTCATGGGGAATTTATGCCGTGTATAACCAGGAAGGAAGCTGCTATGCCAACCAACGCAAGGGATTAAAGGAGATCTGCCCCAGAGAAGTGATGCCCTCAGTGTGGAATGGAGATGCCCTGAGTGTTCAAGAAAGGGGCCCATTTATTAAGCACCTCAACTTAAGAGATAAAGAAGCCTTAATATCATGAACCAGGCTGTAGCCATTAAACAGTTTTCTGCAGGGAAGGATGGAAATCCCAGTGCTTATGCTGGAAAAATGTATTGCAAAGCACAAGACTTTTCTTGAGCTGAGCGGGGAGTGGGAGCCGCTGGCTGCAATCTCCAAACGTTTAGTTCTGTAGCGACGTTCGTAAAGGAAAAGTTCTCATCATGGACCCATCTCCCAGTTTATCCCCCAGGAGGGTGGAAAGGAAGAAGGGAGCTGATTGTATGGTAAATGTGCCAGTTATCTGCCAAGGATGTTGTTGCTCTTGGCTAGCAAAAGACCCGTGGAGCACTACCCATGCCTGCCTTCTCTTGCTGAGAGTTATTCTAGATTTAGACATTGGCCCCAGTGATAACAGCCAGGACTAAGAGAGTGCCAGGGTCCCAGCTCCCATTGCAAGGTGCAAGGTGCCCTCTCTGCATTTGGTCAGGGGCTAATCAGGCCAACACTTCACCTCTGCCCTGGCGGAGAAGAAGCTGTTTGCCCGGTCCATGTCCCACACCAACAGCAGATCAAACAGAGCTGCTGAATTTCCTTGGGCGTTTACAGGACAAGGAAGGAGAAGCATCTTAAAGGTGTCAGAAAGGGACTTAGACCAGCTGCCTAAGTCACTTATGCCTTAAATGAGAAGAAATGGGCCCCTGGCACTGGGATTCACAGCACCTAGACCAGTGAACAGGACTTGCCAAGGAGGCGGCATGCCAGGAATCAGGCCTCACTCCTGGACTTGGGGAGCAATTGAGGTGTCTTTTTAAGACAGGGATTCACAGCCCAAACCCCTGTGTATACAGGTGACTGGTGCTGTCTTCTCTTTTAAGATGCTGTAGTGGTGCACAATAGCCTCCTGGTTAGAGCACTTGCCCAGCAAGTGGGAGATGTGGGGGTGGTAGGTGTGCCATGACCTCTCTACTGGATTAGGCCCTTCAGGGGACCTGGGGCACTTTGCTTGTTAGTACAAGCAAGCACCTAAAATGCTCAGTTTAGCTCAGTTAAGCAGGTTGCACTTCTGCGCACAAGAAGCCGCTGAACGTCGGGGTGCCTATAGACATGCAGAGAGGCTGCTCTGATGCACTGTAATTACAGCGCATTGGAGCAGACTCAATTAATCGAGTCTTCTGGAGTGTGGTAATTACCATGCTCCAACAGACTCCAGCGTCACATGCATCAGCGTCCCCATGCTGGAAAACGCACATTACGTTTGATGCACTTTAGTTAAGGTGTGCCTGCTGCCATTTATCGGCATGGGAATGCTGATACCCATGATGCTCCGAGCACTTTAATTAAAGCCCCCCCCCAAATGTGTTTATATGCCCCAGTTGCCTAGGTCAGTTTTCACCCCAAAACTTGAGGAGTCTGGAGTGTTTTAGGCCATGATGTGGCTTAGGCAGGGTCCCTATGAATTGCTCTTTTGGACTTGTGAATCTCAGCCTTAAACATCAAAGTACTGTGTATGCTTCTATTTTAGGGCACCCCATTACAGTATAAAAAATGCCCCCTTCTTTTTACAGAGGAGGAAACAGGCAACAGGATTTTAAGTAACTTGCTCAGGAGCGTAGGGGAGCAGAATCCGGATAAGAAGCCAGCTGCTCCTGTCTCAAGCTCCCGCTCTCCTACCGCACTGGGATATTCCTTGGACCTTGCAGAGCTGGCTCTGGACTCCAGCATAGCTTTGCCATAGAAATAAGTAATGATGCCTGTTACATGAACAGCATTACTTGGCTCTGCAGCTTAAAACCAGGGACAGAGCTATGAGCCCAGGGCCAGGAAATGATGCTTTGTTTAAAGAGGTCTTCAAAACCGTGACCATGTGGATGTTAAAGTACCAAGAGGATGGAAGGCCAGTAAAGAGAGCCTCCAAAATTATTAATTGGAGAGCTTATGATTGTAAAACAAATCTGATTTTTTTTTTTCAGTGGGCCCAACTCATGATGTGTGAACTCTTGGGGCACTGTTGAAACAAGCAAGCACCCACTAATATCAATTGCTTTTCAGTGGTTGCCTTACAGTGACATTACGGGTCAGGATGGCTTCTTCCGATGACAATAAGGATTATATCTACACAGGGATGACAGCAGATCCTCCCACCTGCTCCTGCTTTATGCTCTCTAAACCTGAAAGTGAGGTGGCGAGGCTGCTGTATCATGACATTAACTTGGGTCACGTCCACATGTGCATTAATGTGCTTTAACTAATGGCACCTAAATTTGATACCTGCATTTGTAGGTATCAAATTTAGGCATGATTAGCTTAATTTCACCATTTTTAATGTGCCTTAAGGGCACGCACTTGTAGACACATGCCCGTAATGTGCTTTAAATGAGGCTAATGTGCATTAACGAGTCTTGTGTAGACATGCCCCCTTTCTACACATACCCTCACCCCCCAATTATTCATAAGACCTCAGTCTATGGTCTATTTGACAGCAGCTGCAGGCAACCCTGAAGTGGCCTCTCTGATGTCTTTCTGGGCATTAGAGCAGGAATAGGTGGGCAGGGTGTATTCCAGTGTCTCCGCTGGGAGACACTGATCCCACAGTGAAGACCTCCCTGAAATCAGCTAGATCAGCAGATGACAAGAATGATGCTAGGCTTGGGAAGAGGGCTCTGCTTGGGGCTGTGGAGAAGGGGAGAGGGCTCTTTCTCCAGTCTGTTGCTCAAAAACTGAAAGAAGGGTCCTTTTTAAACACTGTTCCTCAGTCACACTGTGCCCACCCCATCCCTCCTGAAATTGGTGGTAGCAGAGAGTGCTAATGGAGTGTCCCGAGAGGAGCGGTCCCCAACCTGTGGCTCATGGGCAACCTGCTGCTCTTGAGAACCGTCAGCATTGCTTACAGCCACAGGAAACAAGATGTTAAAGCAGGGGTAGCCAGTCTGCAGCATGCATGCCACAAGTGACACGGGCTGCTGTGCGTGGCACACAAGCTCTAGGGACTCAGTGAAGGGTGGTCGGAGTGAAGACATGGGGCTCCCCACTGGCTGCCTGGAGCAGGAGGCTGCTGCAAGAGAAGGTGTCAGGTGCTATCACCAAGAGCCAGGTTAACACTTCTCTGGCTGCTGCCAAATTCAGGGCTCTGACTCCTTGTTCAGCATGCAAAATTGTGGGAGTTACAGGGCCAGGCAAGGGTTAACATGGCTCTTGGCAGTGACAGCAGCATCCTGTCCCACTACACTCTGCGTAGGTGGAGGGGATGCTTGAGCCTCCCTGCCTCCATTTCGACACTCTGGACACATCTACACAGGTTGCTAAAAGCACAGTAGTCTAATTTTACTCCGCATTAGCGCGTCACAGTGAAAACCATGTAATGTTCTACTGTGCATTAGTGTCACTTAAAAGATGTGCGGTGGTGCAACTGTGCAGTAGCACCGATTACAGCACATAAACTTGGTACCTGTTATGACTTGTACCTGTAATAACAGGTACTAACTTAATGTGCCGTAATTACGGTGCATGTAGATACGCCCTCTAGAGTGCAAACTATCAGGTATGCGGGGAGACAGGGATCAGAGATCACTGGGGGAGGGAGCGGGCTTAGCTCGTGGCTGGCCAAGCTGTGTTAAAAGAAAGTGAACAGAGAACGATGCTTCCTGCAGCATGTTAGGAGCTCGGTGCTGTGTAGCTCAGCTGCACAGTACCGAGCACAGAAGTTGGGGAGCCCTGCTCTACAGCTACTCAGCATCTTGCAGGATCGGAGCCAGGGTGACTTTGTGTTAGAGCAATTTCATATGAGTTGTTAGATGGATGCAAGGTGACAGGCCCTAGGGGCTGAAAGGGTTTCTGATGCCAGCTCCATCTCTTACTTTTGTGAGGCCACAGCAGCCCGTTGGTAACACTCTGTATCGGGTCAGCCAGCCCAGCAACCGCCATCAGGCCAACGGCACAGATGGGTTCATCCGTCAGGGTCTTCCACTTGCTGAACTTGTCTTTCTCCCTTGACACAAAGACCTTGTGACTTCCTTGCTTTGTATTGAGGTGCAAGCCCAGACCTTGCAAGGTCAAGTGACCCTTCTTGCTGCAAGCCCAGGCCTGACGCTTCCTATCCCCACACGGCTCCAGCCTGGCCAGTGCAAAGTCCTGCGGCTTGTGGACAGTCAGGCATTGTTTGGTTTTAAGGCTGACAATGGACTTGGTGCTGGGGTCCCAGCTCCACTGCTGCTGCTGAGAGTGGAGCTTACAATCAGCCAGGCCAATCCCGGTGCTCTCGTGGTGGGTGATGTGAATGCATTTTTCCAACCGGATGTTCTTTATGAGGAAGCTTTGCCCCTCCGATACTGCAGCACAATTAAAGCACAGTTTAGTAGCACATAAGTACAGGACAACTCACGTGCTCAGAGCATCAGCAATAAGTTAGGACCTAGGGAAAGCAAGACTCTGAATCAACTTCTGCATTTTTATACCAGGGTATGAAAAGAAACAACTGCCCATACACTTTCAATTTCCCAGGACTATGTTGTGCAGAGGAAGGCACAGTGCAACAATACTCAGGAGCAAGCTTAGAAAGAAATAATATCAGAACAGATCTGTAGAGCTCATAGAGCCAGCCAACATTTTGAGGACCATTTTTAAAAAACATTTTAGAAATGGATATATTTTTTAAAATGTCCATGAAATACAACCCACGATGACATTTTAACCAGACAGAGAACCAATCAGAAATGCAGCTCCCTCCAAATTCTGTTTTTCTTCCTTCCACTGAAATTAAATCTGTCCCACAACACGTTTCATCGGGATTCCAAAAAACCTTAACAAGCTCGACCAACCTGTCGTCACTCCATCAGCTGTACTACTCCGTCACAGGTGTCAGGCGGCCTCATCCTGACACATGGCATGCTCACTCTGCATCTGCCACTTTCAGATGGGAAGAGATACTGCAAGGCAAAGCTTGCTGGGGGTTGTGGAGGGCTGGTTTGGGAGGTAGCATGTGTGGCATGCCCCATTGCAGCACTGCCTGGCTCTATAACCGAGTGGTACACACAATCACATGCCCTTAGTGTTCACCTTGGGTCCCTGTGCTGTGCTCTGTGGCTGCAGAGAACATGATGGCAACAACAGCAGGACTGAAAACAATTAGTTAAGGTGACACACATGAATATTCAACTAACCTTATATTCGTGGCATCTAACGGTATTCTATATTCCCTGATGTCAGAGCTCCACTTCTGAGGTCTCCCAGGGTAAATATAAAAGCTAACTCTGCGCCACTTACTGGTGGTCTGTAGCAGTGGCTTGTGCTCTGCCCATGACTGCTGCCCAAATAGGAACACTGTTAGTTTTAAGGGAAAGGTGACTTCTGTATTGATTATGGCTTTCAACAAGCAACATGAACTCCAGGACTTGGGGTGAGCTATGAGCTAACCAGCTTAAAGGACCACATCCTTAGTCGTTTCAAAACCAACCTTAACTCTGACTCATGAGTTTCTTGCAAATGCCATTAAACAGTCATCTCTAATATATGCCTGTCTTCTGCTATGTAATGTATAACGGGTCCCTACTGAATGATGGTTGCAGGCAGACATTGCATTTATCCCAAGACAAACCTTTTTGTGCCAGGACAAAGTGCACGAGTACGCATATCCATGTCTGTTGTCCCAGGATAAGTTCTAAAAAGGTTTCCTGAATGGGTAGTGACAGTTTATCCTGAGACACTGCAAAATGCATCTGTCCAGTTATCTCGGGATTGCATAGTTGAATCAACAGAAGAAAAGTGGCACTGCATTCAGCCGTTCACTAAACTCTGATTAGGAGGGTGATGTGGGTACACTCTAATCCCAAGTTATTTTTGTTTCAGGATAAACACAGGCACAGCTTGTCCAGGGATAAATGCAGTATCTATTCCTATGAGAGATGATTTGGCTTGGAAGAGAGAGATGGAAAGAAATAGCTCAAATTCTCACCCTATTTTGGAGAAGTTATTTAAAAAAAAATCTTTGTCTTAAAAGAGCCGATGGATTTTCCCTTATTGGGGTACATTTTTCTCTTGTGCCCCTGTGAGATAAACCCTCAAAGTCTGGCCTTGTACAATGTTAAAGGTGAAAAGTGGGGAGATTGAAAACCAGCCTTGGACTGGAAGCCTGCTAATGATCTCAGCGCAGGTTTCTGCCGAATTTCCCCCCTTGGAGCGAAACAATGCGTTTTATTGACTCAAGGTCACTATTTCAATATCTGAAGGAACAGGATGACAATGAGAGCAGGGCTCAGAGCAAAACAGGGCATGTGGAAACCAAAGATTAAAAAGCTCTTATGCTTTCTTGGGGGAAATTCCAGCCTCCTGTTAGATTTGGTTCCTAATATTAACTACTTGTTTGTGAACTCGGAAGAAAACTAGGGACTTTCTGGCAATGCACAGCTGGGCTGGGTGGAGAGTTCACTTTACAGGTCCTAAAACAGTGGTTCTCCACCTGTTTAGGCTCCGGGCACCCCTTGTTAGGCTCCAGGCACCCCTCAGAAAATGCCAGGTCTGAGCTTTCACTCAGGTTTTGACTACAGAAAAATACTAGAGCAATTCTTCCACTGCAAAGCATTCAGAAAGACCCCCGTGTGTCAGAATGGTTTTAATACTGTGCATTCCCATTTGAAATCCTGAGGTTTATCTTGTGAATTGCATGGAGGTGTTTCCACACCCAAGAGTACTAACATTGCGTGGCACCCCGCAGCATCCTTAAAAAGATCTCAAGGCACCCCAGGGAGCCACGGCACCCTAGTTGAGAATCACTGTTCTAAAATACCATTTCATTGAAGTGTTAGATAATTAAGTACTGTGTGGGGTGAAGGAGGATGGCTTGACAAGGCTGGCGGGGAGTGGACTGTGTATCTGTGCAATGGGCTCAGTATGGGCAGCAGCAGCCGGGCTCCTCAAGGGGCACTTCTACCCTCACAAATGTCCTTCAGCCTGAACACGGGGTGATCGCCTCCAGGTTAAAGAGAGCCGTCTGGTTTCCATGGCCCTTTCATGGCCCTTGACTATTCTGCTAGACCCAGTTAAGCTGCAGCATTTCCATTCTGCAGGAAATTCATTTGTTTCAAAAGAAAAGTCTTCATCCTAAATTGTGATGAACCCTAGAGAAACTGAAATTTCTCATGAAAAAGCATATTTTAAAACATTTTTGTGAAAAATAGGAATGTTTCAGTTCAGTTTTTCTAAAATAAAATGCAGCAGCCATCCGCACCTAACTCTCGGCAACGCTCCCCGCTGGTTCTGACTCCTACAATGTCCCCTAGAGTCAGGGTGATCTGGGGGGTCCCTCGTAGAGCAGCAAACCTGGACCCCAAAACCTAGACTACGAGAGTCCCAGCTAGAACTAAGGCCCCAGGGCTTCCAGACCCACAGGGCTGTGGCAGGGAGCTTGGAAGTCTGGAAGTCCGTTTTCCAGCTTCCTGCCACGAAGCCAGGCAGGTTTCCATCAAAAGCTTCTCCAAATTGAGATGTTTCTGTGCAACACCTTGGTTTTTGATGATTTGGCATTTTCTGATGGAAACACATTTCACTGGAAAATCCCTGAGTAGCCCCATTCTCTCCTAGTTGGTATGCGGGTATCGTTCCACTGAAAATCAAGCTGGACACCCTATCAGCCCCTCCACTGAAACAACCACCACCCCTTACTGACTTGGCAGGGCTCCATGGCAGTACTCAACGGGCAAAGGCCTCTACACGGCTTTTCCACTCCCCTGAGTCACCCAGTCCCCAACCCAGGGCAGATTTTTAAAGCAACCATCTGGGGATATTTCACGAATGTCAGGGCCAGGTCCTGTCCTACCAGGTAGGTGCCTAAGTGTGATCCTATTCCACCTGCTCAAATCTAAAAAAACATTCATGAGCCTAATTTTGTAACACCTTGCATGTGTCTACATGAGACACTTTACTGCAGAGTAGACTAATCTGGTGCGCAGTAAAGCATCACTATGTAACTGTGCACAGGAGCTCCTGTGCAGTGGATTAGTCTACTTTGTGGTTTTCTGTTACCTGTAAATACAGGTAGTAGATTTACCGCGCAGTAGCTACTGCGCAGTAGCACATGGTTACATACCTGTCTGGGGGTGAGAGAACAATCCCCTCCTCCTGGACCTACCTGATCATGGAGCCTGGGTGGGGACAATGTCCCCTTGCTCCCACAGCAGGCAGCTCCAGGCCAGGGCAATGTACTCCAGGCTCTGTGATTATCCACACCAAGATCAGAGCCTGCCCTGGCAACAGGCATCTGCCAGGGGCCAGGAGCCATTTCCCAGTCCCCATTCTGATCGTGGAGCCAGGGCTGGGAGCTGCCTGCTGCCAGGGGCAGAGTACATTGCCCTGGCCTGGTTTCATGATCAGACCAGGGGCTGGGCAGGCTGGACAACTCCCCCCATATGCCCCTGGAGCCCAGGCCTGATACCAGTACCCCATGCCAGCCTGGGGCTGGTACCCAGAGCAGCCTAGAGCTCACCCTGGCTGCCACATAATAACAGACATTGCAGGAGTTTCCCTGCCCAGAACTGCTCCTGTTGGCAGCAAATTTGCTCCTGATAGGTGCACATGTAGAAATGCACTCAAGAAAAGTTTACTGTGCGGTATTTTACTGCTCAGTAAGCTTTCTGAGCACTAATTGCACATGTAGATGTACCCACTGTCATCTTAGTCTTAAGACTGAATCACAGAAAGAAGTGAGCAGAAGAAAGACCCTTCCACCATTTATATAAGCTGATCTCCAGGGACTCAAGGAGGGTGGAATTGGATTGCACTTTGGTAGAGCAGAATCTGGCCCTAAGTTTCTATCCCATAAACTTTTCTTTTATAAAAGGAATCCTATTAACTGAGAATATATGTACGAGTGTTCAGAATTTGGGCCCATTGTCAACAATACACAGAGATCAGAAATTTGGGAGGAAAACAGTGAGAATAACAAGACTTTGATCAATGGTTATAATATAATCAGAACATCAAACACATCACAGTTCCCTCCACAACATTTAAAAGACAGGATACGGGTAGAAGTTTCTGTTAATCAGAAAGAGAAACGCTGCCAAGAATGTGTCATTAGGGGAGATTTTCATTCCCAAAATAGAGGTTTGAAGAACAAAGACTGCCAATAATGGCAGAAGTTAGACATTATCACAAGTGATGGCTGACAGATTTCTATACCCCAAGAGCTGGTGAAGTTTAGATATGGTTTGAGTAACCTTACCTTTTAAAAATAACCTGCAATTGAGTGATCACAAGTCGATTCAATCTGAATTAAGTGGCACAATAAGCAAAACAGGCCACTAAGCAAATGAGGAGGGAAGAAGGGAGCTAGTTA